ATTCAAAAAATTTGAAATCGTTCGGAATCATGAATCATGTCATAGTCTACAAGCAGGATTTGCTTCATTTATGCTTCATGTCATACTTGGAGTCTTTGGTGCACTATTTGTATGAAATCCAACAAAATTATATACCAGAGATATATGTAAATCTGGACCGTTTTTTTTTATTTTAGTGCAATATAGAGGTGAATATAATGCAATATAGAGGAAAAAGAGGTGTACTTCTTGAGTACACCCTTTCTTTTTCATTGTCGGACAGGTTTTATGAGTGCGGGCATCTACCCCGACGCCTTTTTATTCTCATTTATAGTTTATATGGGTGAACTCGCGGCACATATCAGCTCACTATTTCAACGGATGATGAAAGTAGCTACCCCAGGTGACACCGCGGTGAGGTCAGTGTCTACAATTGATATGAGGGACCAAGATAAGCCTGGGCTTTATTAGAGCCAATCAGATCAGCTTTGTTAGAGCCAATCAGATCCGTTGTTTGGTATCCATCATCCCCTATATATGTAAGATATATCTAAATCTGAACCCATCCAAACGAAACTAAACACACGTCATTATAGACTCAATACGATTAGGTATTTCAAATTTCGTGTTAATCGGATAAACATTGGTAGTTTAGTGAACCATTAACAGAAAATCGTAGGAAAATATATATGGGAGCTATCTGTCTATCAAAATCTGACTCGATATTAACCAAATCTAGAACACATCATCTTAGACTAAATGCAATACATTATGCAAAATATCTAACAAAATCTAACAAAATATGGCGTACTTGGAGCACTATTTATATAACATCGTATGGAAATGTGAACCGATTTCAAAAATATTTAACACATGTCATTCGGCGGTCAATTTGGTATGCTATATAAAATTTTGTCGCAATCATTCAAATCATGTATGTTTTGTGCACCATTCAAATCAAAGCGGAAGAAAATATATATACTCTAAACCGATTTTCGCCAATTTCATTAGGGTTTGTCCTTGGGTCGAATAAATGAGTTGTACCAAATTTTATCCAATGCGAATCATGAATGCGACCTACACTTTGTTTACAATTTAACAACAACATTAGGACGGTCATGCGTAAATAGACTCCGAAAATGATTCTATGACAATTCTCATAAGGAACGATATGTCTATTCCGTTTCCTTTTGCCGGTTACAAACATATGCACACAGATGTAATACACTGTAAAATGAAATCCATTTTTTTATGTGAACTATAGGTCTTTATTTAACATGCTTCCTAATGTCCGATTTGGCCAAATATGCACCGTTTTCTTGCATGATGAATTGCAATTTTGCATTGCAAGAAAAATATGATAATCGCTTAGTGCCAAGTCCGGGCTGTATGGCGGATGCATTAAAAAACTTCCCAACCAAGCTCCCGAAGTTTCTGCCGAGGCCACGACACCTCTCCTGTTGGTCAATTCTGGCCGTTTCTGGTCAATTCAAACGGTCCAGTTGTTGACAGTAGAGATCAGAACTTGGCCATATGGAAGCAAATAAATAAATAATCCCCTTCCAGTCCCACCAAATGCATAACAGATCCTTCCTGGCCGTTATCGTATGTGATACATTTCTCAACTCCAGTCACCATCCGTTTAAGAAATAGGTCTATCTCATTCCGTTTGGCCAAGGCTTCGCATGTGGAAATTCGATTCATCTTTTTTTCTGTTAACATCGAGCTTAATTTTTAAATTCATCTTTATGGAAATGGTTTAAAACCGTTTTATGGTTGATTTTTAGCTCCTGGGCTGCTAACATGCCAGTCAACTTCGATCATTTCTCTAATTTTATTTATTTTCGACGACCGGTCTAATGGATTTCTTTTTCCCCAACCTAATATATAGTCAGGTTCCGAACATTTTATTCATTCACTATGTATATATATATATATATATATATATATTTTTATCAGTCAGGACCTTTCAGGAGAATACGTTTTTTAAGCTCTGAAAAATTAGGTACTAAATTACAGTCACATAGTTTGGAATACTGCGCTAGAAACTTCTACATACCCAAAAAAAAGCAGGACTTTAGTATGGGGGCATGGACCTATTTGGGAAATTTTTTGGGTAGGTGTATCGAACATCCATACTGCACACACTTCGGTGAAATTTCTGACAGTTATATGAGGGCTCTGTCAAGAAATGGTTATATGATCCGCAGTGTTGTTTCTGCCATGAATGCCAAATTACAGCCATTTCGCTAGGAAATTGAGGCAACGACCGTCAAAATAATGACAATTGGATTGTCAAAAGTGAATGTAATTTAACATTCAGGGGTCTTGGATGGTGAAAGAAAACATGGGCACATATTGTTGCAAAGACGATTTGGTTAAAAATATGTCTAAAACTTTCAAAATACCAAAGACAGTGTGGTACAAATCTGTAGCAACGATGGAGATTATAAAAATCAATCTTCAAAAAATACTTAAAAATTAACTAGTTTCCAAAATATTTTCTTTTCTACTTTATTTTGAGAGTCCATCATTAGCATGATGAACTCTCAAAATTAATTTCAATTATATCAAATATGAATCGAATTAATTTGATTAAAATAGTTTTTTTTCAATTCACAAACTACAAAAAATGTGATTCTAATCTAACTAGGCGTAAAGCAATTAAAAAAATAAGCGTTAAGACCTCCCTTTGAGTATTAATCTAAATTATTAATTACTAAATTTAAAAAATTAAATTAATAAAATGTAAGAAAACAGCAAAAACAAAGTGACAGATATTTCCTAATATTTTATTAACTGTCATTTCCTAAAACCAAATTAAATCGATTTGGTTATTTTTGACGTTCGATATGAACTTAACGATATGTATTTCAATGTCAGGCTAATTATAAACGAAGAAGATACATAAGCAGCAACCAAAGAGAGAAAAGCATCTATTTTGACAAATGATCTATGTATATAAAAGCAGAGTGAATTTGACGAAACTATATCAAACGACATTTAGTCTTTACAACATTAACTTCAACCAAGAAAACATTGCAACAATGGTGAGCATTCAAATCATTTCCGAATATTGTAAATTATTAATTGTTTTCCTTTCTTTATTTTCAGAAATTCACTTTGGCTTTGGTCTGTGCCCTTTTGGGTGTTGCTGCTGCTGATGTCTCCCATTTGAGTGGTGCCTATGATTATCCTAAACAGGATTCCGGTTACAGCTATAATGGACCAGCCCAACAAGATGGTTATCATTATGATGCACCAGTTCAACCTCAGCAAACCTATTTACCTCCTGCTCAACCCCAACAAACCTACTTGCCTCCTGCTGAACCTCAACAAACCTACTTGCCTCCTGCTGAACCTCAACAAACCTATTTGCCTCCCGCTCAACCCCAACAAACCTACTTGCCCCCTGCCGAACCACAACAGATCTACTTGCCCCCTGCTGAACCACAACAAACCTACTTGCCCCCTGCTGAACCACAACAAACCTACTTGCCTCCCGCTCAACCTCAACAAACTTACTTGCCCCCTGCTGAAGGTCTTGCTCAGGATGGTTATCATTATCGCGTTGTCAAACGTTATCGTCTCAGATCTCATTAAATATTGAAATTAATATGATTGCCATCGGCACGGTTGCCGGTTGTAATTGTTTTCCATTATTTTTTGTTAATTGTTGTTTGGGTATAACCCCGAAATATTTTTCTAATAAATCATTTCGTATAAAGCAATTAGTTTTGAGTTATTTTCTGTTATATCGATCATGGAAATTAATATTCATGCCGTGCCACAGTAAATTAGTTTTGTAGAAAAAGTTTTAAAACATAATTTTAGACCAAAAATAAGTAACATTATTATCACTACGGCGATCATAAAAGTGAAGAGTAATTCTGACGATAGATCAATCAAATATATTTGAGTGACAGGTTACATATGAAGGCTACGTCAAAACATCGTCGATTGGGTTTGATGATCGTTACATTAACATAATCTGTATTGTAGCAGAGGGTCTACGCTTATAGCTCTGCAAAAATATTCTTTGAAAATAATTTAAAAATATATTTATAGAATTTTAGGTGTTTATAATTTAGCCGAAATTTATTACTGTTCGTAGATATAAGGTTTTCTGAACAAAGATCGTTTGAAAGTCGAAAATGTCGATGCAAACATACGAATATCGATTTCTTGTCTTTGAGGACCCTACCTAAAAACTTATGAGGGACTTTTTATATAATATTTAGAGGTCAAAAAATCTTGCATTTTGGTGTTGACGTTGTTCAAGAATATTAGAACGCAAAGGAAGAACAAGGACTCGAGATAAAAGGATGATATGTTTTACAAAAACATTCCTCATACGATTTTTTTCGCGAACTGTAGACTTATCATCAAAAAGTTAATCGAACCATAACTCAAAAACGTTACCTATGTCGAATTTGTCCTTTTGAGTTTTTAATATACTCGCCAGGGGTTTTCATCCCTTTACCCAAAATTATGTTGCTTAGTGTCCGACATGTTCAACAGGAGACAGAAATGCCATGTTTATAATAAACGAAAAAATCCATATAAGGCGAACACAGCTTACTCAATGCACTGTCTATATCTAAGGCTATCATACGCCCTCTTTTTTAGAGGACAATCATCTATTTCAACTGGATGTCCTCTATCTGCCATATATTTTTATAATCTGTCATCTTTAGTCTCCTTTATTTTTAAGATCATGATCAATATTTATTTTAGTGGAGCCGTATAGAAACCAGTAAGGAAAGTAGTAAAGTCGGACTGGGCCGACTATATGATACCCTTCACCACTTTGGGTATATTCTACATATGTATCCTAACAGACATCTATATCTGAACCGATTTCAGGGAAACTTGACAGAGGCTAATTTATATTACTTTAGCACATTGTGTTTATCGGCCTATCTATGGATCTTTTCTCGAAGCTTAGCAACATCATTCTAGACTTAGTTCAGTACCCTATTCCAAAATTCGTGCAAATCGAAAGATATATAGGGTCTTTGGTGCACCAATTACCTAAAATCTGACGAAAATATATATGGGAGCTATATCTAATTCTGAACCGATTTTCACGAAGTTTTTCACACGTCATTCTAGACTTAATTCAGTACGCTATGACAAATTTCGTGCACATCGAATGATTTTTAGAGACTTTGGTGCACCAATTACCTAAAATCGGATGCAAATATATATGAGAGCTATATCTAAATCAAAACCGATTTTCACGAAACTTTGCACACATAATTCTAGACTTAATTTAGTATGCTATGCCAAAATTCGTGCTAATGAAAAGATTTCCAGGGACTTTGGTGCACCATTTACCTAAAATCGAGCGAAACTATATATGGGAGCTATATCTACATCTGAACCGATTTTCACGAAACTTTGCACACATCATTCTAGATTTAATTCAGTACGTTATTCCAAATTTCGTGCAAATCGAAAGATATGTAGGGACTTTGGTACACCATTTACCTTAAATCGAACGAAGATATATATGGGAGCTATATCTAAATCTTAACCGATTTTTACCAATTTCAATAGGGTTCATCCTTGGGCCAAACAAATGAGCTGTGCCAAATTTCATCCAATTCGGATCATAAATGCGACCAGTACTCTGTTCACAAAAATACATGGACGGACGGACATGCTTAAATCAACTCACAAAGTGATGTCTCGATTATTTTTGCCTGTTACACAAAGACATAATACCCTGTACCACAGTGTGGTGAAGGGTATAAAAAATCTTGAAGTGCTTGTACTTTTCCAAAATCTGGTCGCCTTACTATATCGGAAATGCGGCTAGAACCTTAAAATATTGAAAATGTGAACCTTACAAATATCTAATAAGCTGGACATTGGGTGTCAAAAAGCTGGACATAAAAAGCATTATGTGGACATTCACGTAAAATCAGTCTTGACTTTTATATGAGGGCTATGTCATGGTAAATATTTGGTGGGAACGTGTGACAGAAATGAAATAAATAATATATCATATATGGCCAATTCGGTCAAACATCGTCCATAAACTTCTGTGGTTACCCCGACATATTTTATTGTCTATTCCAAAACTCCATCTTAAATATTGCGACCTCTTGCGTGATTTCAACAGACAAGCAAGCAGACCTACATAACAAAAACCACATAAAATTTTAACTTGATTAGGGAAATTAAGTCTCCGGAGAATATTTTGAGGTTTGCCAACAGAATAATTCTACCTTATGTTGTATTAAGGTTCGGGAGCTTTCAAGACATGAATCCACATCAAGTATTTTTCTGTTAACTTTTTTTATCTTCAAGAACCCAAAATTGCAAATTACAGTCATTTAGTTGAAAAATTGAGAATAAAAGCTTCAAATTACTCAAAATGAGACGGGATATTTAAATGGGGCTTTAACAAAACATAGACAGATATATTAGATTGGGGAAAAATAAATCCATTATTTTTATATGAACTATCTGACTTTATTTAACATGCTTTGGAATGTCCGATTTGGGCCAAATATGCACTGTTTTGTTGTATGGTCTCTGGCAATTGTAAAAGTAACTTCATAATGCCTCTCTTACATATATTCTGCTCTCTATTTGCAATTTTTTATCATTAGATATCAATTTTTTATCATTAAAGAAATTTCGCAATGCAAGGAAAAGATGATAATCGCTTGGTGCCAAGCCCGTACTGTATGGCAGATGCATTAAAACTTCCCAGCCTTGTGTGGCCTAGCGTTGTCCTGGTGGTACACGACACATCTCCTGTTGGCCAATTCTTGCCGTTTCTGGTTTCTGATCGAATTTTAGCTTCTGGGCGATGTTACGACTTCTAACATGCCTGTCAACTTCGATCATTTCTCCGATTTTATCGACATTTTCGACAACCGGCCTTTCAGTGGGAGGTGCATCTTTAACATCAAAAATGCCTGAACGGAATCGACGAAACCAAAATTGCACATAATTGCCTGTTACAGTATCGGCACCATATTTGGCAAAGAAAAATGTAAAATGTACCGAATTTTCTCTTTGTTCACTTCCATTTTTAACACCCTGTAACTCAAAACTGAATGCACTAAACAAAAACAGCAAAATAATTTTTTACTGCGAAATGTCACCCTTCTAACGGTGATAAATTTGAAATTGTTTGATCGATACTATACGAGAAATCTATCAGTACAGCCATCTGCCGAAAAAATAATGGATATCTTTTTCTCCAACCTAATAGAAAGAATTAAAATTGACTTTTACTAACATGGCATGCTTATGATAAAATTTCAATATATAGTATCACTTTCAACCAAATTAGCTGTTGTGTAGCACCATGGCACAATTATACAAGGTAGTCTCATGTAGTCATTTTTTCCAATTTTTTCATAAATATGCCTTTCACAGTATTCAGAATTTAAATGAAAATATCTTCCTTCGAAATGTACGCAAATAATGTGTTCAGTAGCAAAAATTGCTAAAGAATTTATATTTATAAATATTTTGAAGTTCCCTACCTCTAAAACTTTTAAATACAATTTATAACAACCATGGTTAAATCTTGAGAGAAGGTTCAGCTTTAGAAAATATATTTTGTTTAATTTATTGAAAACATGTCAATCGACAAATATAAAATTTTATGGAATTTATTTTTTATATTATTTCAAATTGATAGGTGAGTTCCAAATTAAAAAGGGTTGACAACATCAAATTCTCAAATGAGATTACCTTATGTAATTATGCCATGGTGTGGCACATAAAATTAAAAATTTTGTCACCTTGTTGATTTTTAAAATGTTCACAATGATTATATTCAGTTCCTTTTATTTTACTCTACGAATTTTCCCAGTATCATCGTACAAACATTTATCAAACTTGAAGCAGAAAATATGTTTTTATCCCAATAAAATACAAAGAAATGTCTCAAATTGGATAACCCAATCCATCGTACACAATATTCTCTAGAAGAATAACATGTTTGATTAATTTGCATATAAATGGTCAGCATTGTGTCAAATGCAGGTGAACGAAGATTGTTTTTCATACACAGTTTCATACAACAGGGTGCATTGACCCGTTTTATGTACTAAGGCACAATCTCCTTTCGTCGATAGGAGAAAAAATATATAATTCCTTCTAACCATTGTTATAACGTTTTCTTAGTTTTTACATTTTCCAAGAACATGTCCTTATTGTGTGTATAGAATGTTAGTTCAAGGATTTGAAGTATGTTCGACTAAAGGCTTTTATGTAAAATGTTGTAAATATATAAGAAAGGGGTTTTTTAGTAAATTTGTCATAAGAACGATGTATCTTGGATTGAATGCTCCTATACTAAAGAAGAATGATAGATAAAAACTGAATTTTGTATACAATGATTTATTACATATAAGCAATTATCCCCAACATGAACATTAATCAATATTCGAGTATGGACATACAAAGACGTTTTTTTTTCAATAACTAGGACGTAACAAATTTGATATTTGTAAACAAGGAATGCCTCCTTATTTAATGGTTTTCTGTATATGCAGCGAAATTTTCAAATTTGTTCTCCTTTCCTTGTTTTATGTTTAATATGGAGTATTAAATTTGTCATTCCGTTTGCAAGACCTCA